AAATTCAAAAGTTTGCCACCTATTCCGAAAGAGGACAATTTCAAGAGGAGAAGAGCATGGTCAACACGGTCAAAAGCCTTAGTGAAATCGAAATATACTGTGTAAAGAGCAAAACCATGGTCCCTAGATTGGAGAACATAGTTAACGAGAAATCTCCAATGGTGCACCCAAAATTTTGAAAAAATTTCATGCAAGATATGTGTCAAACAATTACGGACACTGAACCTGTCTGTTGTCTATCGGCCTCCCAGTTCGAATGAAATCGCCGATATGGAATTAGTTAGTGCACTGGAGTTGTTATATAAGCAGGAGAACTTACTACTTCTGGGTGACTTCAACGCTTTAGGAATAGACTGGAACATTCCCCTAACAAACGCCCCGTCCACGTCATTTGACCACTAGCTACTACAACTCTCCTTGAATGAATACCTCATTCAACACATAAAATTCGGAACAAGAATGAGAGAAGGACAACGATCTAACTGTTTAGATCTCGTTTTCAGTAAAGAAGAAGGACTCATAATGGAAGTGAATCCACAACCTCCACTCGGTTTAAGCGACCATATGGCTTTTACCTACGTGCGCTCTCTCCCATCGAACCAGCAACCAAAAATCAAGAGGCGCAGAAATATTTGGAGGGGTAACTTTAACGCAATGAGACGAACTCTTTTGGAGGAAATCTGGTTGGTCAATACAGAAGATTCAGACGAATTTCGGCAGTACTTTCGCGGGATTATAGAGCGTCTAATTGATTCCCATTGTCCAATAAAAATGACAAGACCATGTTCGCGACCGCCGTGGGTCAATCCGACGACAAAAAGGACCATGAAAAAGAAACAGAGACTCTGGAAAAAGTATTTGCAACTTCGAGATCCAAGGTCATTCGCCGAATATAAGGATCAGCGCAATAAATGCCGCAAACAAATACGGGTTGCCAGAACTTCTTTCGATCGCCGACTAATAGCAGAATCCATTACATGTCCCAAGAAGTTTTACGGGTACATCCGCAGTAGGAGGAAACATAGGGACGAAATTGCGTGTCTTAAGGATAGCCTCGTAAACTTGTTAGTCGAAGGGCCGCAGTAGTGGATTACTGCCTCAGTCTTTTCAATCGGTTTTTACGGAGGAGTCCTAAGAAGACAATCAGCAGGTTGAAATGGACCGAGACAGCCAGGAGCTTCAAGTGCGCCAACATATTGCCGTCATTGAAACCGTCGCCTTTTCCGTCGAAGAAGTCAGACGCGCCCTCAGTCAAATAAAACCTGATAAGTCTCCTGGACCCGGTGGAATTTCCGGACTAATACTTAAGGAGCTATCAACGGAGCTGTCGAAGCCTCCTGCGACTCTCTTTTAACTGTCAATGAGAACAGGAAGGCTGCCCTCGCAGTGGAAGACAGCTAATCTCGTTCCATTGCACAATGGAGGTAGCAGGATGACAGCAAGCAGCTTCAGGCCTATAAGCTTATCTTGCCTCCCTTGAAAAACGATGGAAGCTGTAGTAAAGAGCGCCATACAGCGGTTTTGTGAAGAAAATAACATCTTTCAGGATTTTCAACATGGGTTCCGGAGAGGACGTTCCTGCCTCTCAAATCTGCTATCTTGTTTGGAGATCTGGACCAGGGCTGTAGAAGAGGGTTTTGAGGTCGATGTCGTGTACATCGATTTCCGCAAAGCTTTTGACACTGTCCCACACCAACGTCTTCTTCACAAATTGAGCGCCATCGGCATCCGGGGAGATCTTCTGAACCAGATTAGGGCGTTTCTGGTTGATCGGAAACAAAGTGTCTGTGTCGGGGATGATATGTCAGGATGGGCGAATGTGACCAGTGGTGTGCCGCAAGGCTCAGTTCTGGGACCATTGCTCTTCATCCTTTACGTTAACGACAGGCTTCAGGAACTCGACTGCGGCAAAATAATGTTTGCAGACGATGTTAAGCTCTGGCAAGTCATTAAGGGACCGAATCATCAGAGATCCCTTCAAGATAATCTGCACCGACTGCAAGCGTGGTCGAAGAAATGGCTTCTAGATTTCAATGTGGGGAAGTGTGCCGTCCCTCATCTGCGTCCAACCAACTCTCATTCAAATGAGAGACTGCGGACATATCACCTGAAAGATATAAGGCTCCCCGCAGAATCTTCACAGAAGGATCTCGGGGTTTGGATATAGAACAACCTGAAGCCAACACTGCAGTGCCACAAGGCTGCAAAAAACGCCATGGGAGTGCTGCATGCAATTAAAAGGGCTTTCGTTAACTTTGACCAAGACATTTTTGGGAGAGTTTACGGCACTTTTGTTCGGCCCCACTTAAAATATGGCATACAAGCATGGCGGTCATGGCTAGTAAAGGACCAAGCATGCCTCGAACGAGTACAACGGCGTGCAACAAAGCTGGTAAACGGTCTAAAAGGCCAATCCTACACAGAAAGACTGAATTGCCTTAATTTATTCCCTCTGTGTTTCAGGCAGCAAAGAGGTGATCTCATCCTCGTCTACAAGATAATACATGGCCTTGAGCATGGACTTAAATTTGAGGACATGTTTCAGTGGCACCTTTCGCCCAATCTTCGTCGTCACTCGATGAAATTACGGACAACACTGTCCAGGCTGAATCTTCGTTCTGAATTTTTCACGCAGAGGGTAGTGGAGAAATGGAACGATCTCCCTCAGTC